TCCAGCGTGTTGTTGCATAGTACGGGCATTGTCCTGATATGTTTTTTTTTTCTTGTTCTTGGTTTTTGACTATCTCCTTTGTCTCTAATGTGTTATACGTCTTTGGTCACCTAACCACATCCTCTTTTACCCGACTTATCCTACTTTCACCTCTTATATCCTCTCCTCCCTTATCATCTCCACTCCGTTATATTGGGCACAAAAAGTCTCAGGGAGTCCTGTGTATCATACCATGTACTTTATGTGCTCCACGGCTGTTCACTCTGCCGTGGTGTTTAGCAAATTCATTTATTAATTGTTCATGAGCATTCTACCTTCGTAGTGTGGTGGTAAACATGTTACTGCCAATCGAGCATCAAAGGAAATACTGTAACATCAATAAAATGATCCGACCTAGATCAAGTTACTACTACTGACCAACATCGTAAACAATATATATTCCCATCTATATGAAAACAACTTAACTACCAATTCCCAAAAAACCCACCCCTCTATCATCTCAAGTAACAACCATTTATTCATCAATCCCCCCACCTCCTCCCCTTCTCCGCATACGGATCCATCCTCTCCCTCTCCACCTCCCCATCCACCAATCCCATACGCCCCACACCACCACCAGCACCACCACCACCCATCATCTTATCCTCATGTTCCGACCAAATATCCTCCCCAGATTGCTGTCTCTGTATCTTCCCATTGCGTCTATATTTCGCCAGTCCGCGACGATTCGTCTTCGGCCGGTTAATCTCAGATCCAGGTCCAGGTCCAGGCCTCTTCCTCTTCACCTTCCACCCCATCCTCCTCCAGCACTGGAAGAGTAATGTGACCGGCGCGAGAAGGAAATCTGCAACTATATCTATGATAAGTTTCTGTGCGCGCCATAGGGTTTCGCGTAGCCGTTCGTTGAAGGCTATTAGGAGGGCGAACATTATTATGGCGAAGGAGGCGGGGCCTGTTTGTTTTATATTTAGCGTTGGGTTGGGTTGGGTATTTGGGCGAGGGAGGTACTTGGGATGTAGGAGGGAGGGGTGGGGGTGTACCTGAGATATATAGCATCTGGCCTAGGCTTAGGTTCTCTGGTACGCCGCTCCATTCTCGGGCGTTGATGCCGAATAAGGAGGTGAAGAAGGAGAGGGGGAGGAAGCTGGTTGGTTTGTGATAACAGGGTTAGTTGTGTGGGTTTGTTGATGTATCTTGGGGGGGAGGGGGGAGGGAAACTGACATGATGGTGAATATTGTAAAGACCATGACGGACCGAGATTGGTCTTGAGTTACTTCTGCTTCCCATCGGGCGAGACGGGATTCGTCGACGCTAGCTTGTTTTTGTTTGAGATCGAGTAAGTTTTCGACCTGTTGATTTGGGGGGTGTCAGTTCTCTTGTCTTGCCTGGGAGAGAAGATTGGTGAGAACGTACTGCTTTCTGTGCCACGGATGCGTTTTCGCGCATTTCGAGGACTTGGTTCCGGTACTCTTCTAGTCGGAAGAGGGCTGATTCGATGAATGCTTGTCCGCAGCCTCTGTGTTCGAAGTACCTGGACATGGTTCTCACTGTAGTTGCTTGTTGTTCCAGGAGTTTGAGGAGGGTGCTCAGTTCATCTACGATGTCTCTCAGCTCTAATAATGTGGAGAGGTCCTCGCGGTTTCGTCTGGCTACTTTATTGTCCCTCTCGTCGCGCTCCGCGGCGGACATGGGTCTGCCTTCGGCGTTCTTGTTATAGTCGGCGGGGCGAGTGTTGAAGCCGCGGTTTCGGAAGCGTTTGAAGGATTTGGTTACGATTTCGGTCTGAAATGATTAGTATTCTAATTGGTACATTGGAGAGTTTGGGTTCTCACAAGAATGCTGATGGACTCTTCGAATATACGGAGTATTTGCAGGTCACGGTGCAATGTCCGGTCCAGAAGGACGGTGATTGCATGCAACACGATCAAGGAAGCAAGGTCGCCAGCTGTTTCGAAGCGTCTTGCGAGATCTCCGTTAAGCTCGTTGTATATGCTGCTATAGAGGTTTGACTGCTCGTAGAGTTTGCCTTCTGCCGTTATAGCCTCCTGATTGGGGAAGAAAGTGACTACTGTCTTCTCATCGACAATCCATAACCAAAGTTGATCGACCATGAGGACCTTGCCATCCATGAATGTGTTTTTGGTGTTAGTAGTATTATCTGCTTCGGCGGAAATCTTGATCTCATCATTGAGATTAACGACCTTCTTCGTCCGTTTCCAGAGCATCTGGTCATCATCTCTTGCCACGGTCGATCGTAAGTTAGGGTACCCGAATTGATCCAATGTTCGCCGGATATGAATAGGTGGCTCGCTTCCGAGATATCTCCAAATCAGCTTTGACTCCAGGCTCGCGTTGGAGATGTCATCTGGCACTGGTCTGAAGCGTCCTTGTCGCAATCTGTCTTCGACGACTTTACGCCGCTGAACGAGATTCCAGTAGGTATCCCAGTGGAGCTATACTGAATTTAGTACAGGAGATATGCATGAGATCTCAGTGGTCTGATAATACGTACATATGGTATCTAGTCAGGAGCGAAAGGTGAGCATCCTGCTTGTTCGTTAGAGTGGTAGACTTACGTATAAAGCCAATCTAGGATCTTGATGCCCATCTTCAGTATCAGGAGATGGAGGCTTGCGGTCCTTGAAGTGAATACAGTCTGGTCTTACGTAGCGAGCGTGAGGTTCAAGGTGACGGGCTCTGATGAGATTCGAATACCAGTATTCGTCATTGACGAACTCCTCCAAGCTAGATACGTCAGCAAGAGGTCTGACTTCTATGAGGGATACGTACAACTTCTGCCTATCATGGCTCCCACAAGCCTTGGCTAAGATAGCTGGTACCCATCCAGTGTGGGTATAAGGCACATGGATCCAAAAAAGTTTCTCGCTCCCTGGCTCCGGCTGGTCAAATCGTGGCATCTTCCGAGGCATCTCGGCCCTCTGCTGATCGACAGTATCTCGGAAGGGCGGTGGAATCGGTAGGAAGCTTTTATATCTAGGAGGACTAGATATTGCTCTTTGTTTGAATTTAGTTAACTGTCTAGCTTTATTGGCGGGAGTTGCATAGAGACTCACAGAATGTTTCCCACACCCGTTTCGCTTTGACTCGCATCACCTATCTCATCCTGGCTTTGTGAATCAGACCTCTTTACATCTTGACCTGATTCTGGCTGTACATCAAAGTAGTCATCAAGGATTGGCTCAGTAATATGGATCTGAGGAGATGTGTGGCCCATAAAGCTGCGACTCGCTTTTAATGGGGGCCTGTGAGGAAGAGTCTCGGGTCTGTTGGCTTCCGCTGCAGGTGTTTCTCTTGCTTGCAATATGCCATCCATTGACGCTCGAACATGAGCAGAAGTCGGTCTGCTATCAAAGCTGCTTAGAGAGGAGTCATCGTAGATGCTCGCTGGTATCCCGGCTGTCTTTTGAAGCCTGGTATTAAGGCATGAAGAGGGTCCATTCGCCAAATACTCGCGGAGAGACGCTTTGGTGGACCATAGTTTCAAAGGGGTTTCGTCGCTAATTCCACGCGCGGTGTCTTCGAAAAAGCCATTTACTTGGACCAGTACTTCCGTGTCGACGTCTAATGGGGCATCTGTCAGCTTGGATAGACGAATAGCCACGGTGACAGATTCATGTAATTCATCTATGAAACTGATTCTTGTTGTAAGCTCTTGGCCCTTGAAAGACGCAGTGCCAACGTGGTCAGTAGCTAGAGGGGTTTCTTTTTCATGTTCCAAACCAAGAATACCAGACCGAATGGACGTAATGGGAACATGCATGTCTATGGTGGTTCCAGCCTCAGAGTCGGCGATGCTTAGAGTTGAATCGACAGTCTCCAGGTAGGTCCAAAGTCTGATGTCCGCCGATATTGCCCTGAATTCGCTAGAAAGACGTAAGAGGTAGGGATGTCTTGGTTTGAAGAGCTCCCGCATGCGAGGCGGAATGCGGTGTTTGAGTCTCATCAAGTGCTGAATACTTTTGGTGAACTCCGGAGCCGACAGATAACTCGAGCCATGATGCGGAGTCGCCAGAAATGCGATGCCATAGCAACTCGACAGAATCGAACCAAGTCTGGATGTCAGTTGACTAGCTATTACAAGCGCTGCTTTGGCGACAAGTCCGCCCGTGCTGTGACAAATGAAGAAGATAGGACGCCTAAGGCTCTGCAACGCAATATCAGGACCGTGCTCTGCGTCTAGCACAAGGCTAGTGGAAGTACTCACAGTTGGACCCCTTTTCTCTAGAAGCCACTTTAACAGTCGGTGAGCCAGTAAGTCCAGATCATCTTGAGAGTCAAGATGCCCATGGTCTGCAAATAGAACGCGAGCGGTTGGGATACATCTGGCTAACTCGGTAAGAAGCCACGGCGTTTGTGAATCCTCACCGAGCCAGGTCCTCCTGGGATTTGCACCGATAGCTGGCACTGCAACAATACTATTATTTCCATCGCATCAGCTCTTCTATTACTGTCATGATGGTGGAGAGACGATCGGAGACTTACTCCACTGCCGTTTCGATGCGCGGAGGTTGTTCCCCGTTGAGCGCATTGTCGGGAGCCATTTCCACATTCGCTCCAGTGGACAGAGGAGAGTTGAGACATATTGTCTGAACGAAGTGGGGAGAATGTAAAAGTGAGCAGTGCGCTGCTTTGACTCAGAAGGAAGACGAGCCTCATCATCTGACACTCTGTTGATCCACCCCCGGGCAGGTGACTGTCTTGGAAGATCTTCTCAGCCTTACTTGGCAGACCCCTGCTAGTAGGTGAGAACACCACCGGAAATTAGCCTAGAGATAGCAAAGTAATTAGCCCCAATCAAGGAAAGACGGAAATTATCTATGATATTTGTCAGTAAGCGCAAGTCGTGCAGAAGCGCCCAGCCAACTAGTACTGACGGTACTTGTTAACCAAACCTTCCCCTGTAGGGATTAACGGAAGTTTTTTTCATGAAAGAGGTACAGCAATCGTGGAAAATGTAGACCGGACGGTCTGGTAAAATATTTATTTAAGAGGCTATATAGGATGTGATTGGAGTGAAGATTTTGGTCGCTCTGAGCAGATACAAGATATACATGGTTTGAAGGACTTTTGCGTCCAGAAAAGACAAAACCTCCCTTTTGGTCTTACACAAGACAAACATAGGAGCAAACCGCTGGAGACGAGAAGGAGATATATGCAGAGAAATAGTATAAAGGCGAGGGAGCACAACGGGAAGAAAGGGAAAGAACTGCGACGAAAGTTCTATGGAGACAATTCGGTATCATCAGACATCAACAAGAAATCAAGAGGTAGAAACGCAGTGCACGCCGAGTTTATGCGATAAGACAGAAGCAATTAATTGCGGCAACTAGTGGAGAAATGCAAGCTGCTTGAGATCAAGCGTCGGGTATTTCGGGTCTTCCAGTAATCGAGAACGCCGTATATGTCGAGCCATATCCAAAGAATGAAATATCTTTTGTGGAGGGGAGGATTGGATTAGTTTTCTGTTTCAATCATCTGCAGAGCGACTCCTCTCGTTGACGCCCCGTGCCATCTTCTTGCCGAACTCGTACGTTGAGATCATAATGGCGCAAGCTGGTGCTACCTTCAGGCAGCGTGCAACACATCCGCGGAAAAGTCCTGCCATACCTTCCTCACGGAAAATGTGTAGCAGGAACTTCGGTAGGGGGAGCTGCTCGGGATGGAGGACTCCGCCGGAAACGTTGCCCGCGGAACCGGGCACATCACTCATGTGTCGGAAAACTTGTTGGCGAGTTTTGCCCACGTCAAACGGAGTGGTGACGAATGCCGCCAAGGATCCAGAGCTAGCGCCCGCGAAGAAGCTGTCAAAGAAGGTTGGCGTATCAAGGTCGTGGAGATGGCGCTGACTGGCAGAGGACCCGTGTGGCAGACCGTGCAAGTAAGAGCTCTTGCGCGTTTCAATGAGATAGTTCTTGACCTCTTCATACCCCCACCAATAGAGGCCAGAGAAGGGCACATCGCGCCACATGGTAAGCGTCAGTCCTCTCCACAGCGAGCTGTAACCTTGCGTTTGAGCCATGTGGTAAAGACCCTCTAGGGTAGCCTTGAAATGGCCTGCCCCAGTGCCAGGCGTGGCTTGCAGACGCGTTCGGAACATCTCGATGGGACTGATAAGAGATGCTGCTGTGGTTCTGGCAACGGAGCCTGCAACGAAAGGAGCGTAGGCGTCGGGAAACCACCGCTTGATCAGGCTCCTGTCATCGGTCCGCAGCCAGTCGTATCCAGCGAAGTAAATGATGTTCCCTGGAATGCTCATCATCAAAGTAGGACTGAGTCCGCGCCAGAGGGTCAGCACACCCTCATTTCGCGCGATCTTCCGCAATCCGTCCAAGGTCGATGTGAATGTTTTGCGCTGCGTTTCTTCCACGGCGCAATCCGCGACAGTTGTAGCCCCGAGAGCCCCGGCTTCAGGTCCGAGCATACATATCTGAGTATTCTGTCCAATCCAAAAGACTTCCCGACAACAAGCTGTTACTCCAAGATTGGGGGGAGCGTTCTTGAAGGTTTGCGTTGTGTGTGAGTTGAAGGGCGATGTGTTTTTGACCAGCGACTGAGACTGTAGACGAACCCGAACGACGTCAAGAGGTGTAACTAGACAGCAGTATCAGCATCTCACGCCTCAGGAACCCAGTTGGGACCTTGCCTACCTAGAATATTCGTGAGAAAACTGCCGATGGTGGCCGAAACCATCCTTTGAGCGATCGAGACATCCTCTGTCTGCTGCATGGCGCTCTGTGCTGGAACCGAGCCTGTCCCAGATGTAGTCGCCATTGGAATAGTGTTTTTAACTGATGGCCATGACTCTGCCAGGTTGTTCGTGGGTACAGCGCCGCTCAAACCGTTGGAGCGATATCGGTCCCCGGGCGCAAGATCAGTAGTGGTAGCGGACATTCATTCAACGGCAAAGGATCGGAAGAAGAGAGAGGTGCGAATGAATTGTGGACGCGTGCCTCTGCTGCTAAATATCGCTAAGGGGATTGATGGCGTAGGGAGGGAGGGATCTTCAGCAGACGTCAGAGGGGGGCAGCAAATGCGTCAGAGAGAAAAAGAGCGATCGGGGCTCGGAAGGTTTGGCGGTGGCGCGTGGAGCCGAACAGCTTCGATGGAAGTGCCGGAGATAAGCACTTGGTCCCTTTCTTTTCTCTCTTGCCTCTTCCACTGTCACGGTATCTGACTGATTCGTCGTTTTGTGAGACTGGACAACAAGAATTACAATGGAGTGTTAGAGTTGTACTTTGGTTTCTTTCCCTACCTTTTCCATTTTCTTTCTCTTCTTTTCTTCTATCCATTTGGTCGCCGACATTCCAGGTCCCGCCCGAGAGATAATAATTGCTTATCAATCGCGGCGGACCCAGATCGCCGCCGCACCCACTGCAACCAACTCCCCTAGCGGCCATGGAGGACAACGCAGAGCTCGAATCGTTTCGGCGCCAGTGGCGTGAGGAAGTTGCGCGCCGGGCGAAGCCATCGAGGCCTCAACCAGCGCAGCCCAGGTCAACAAAATCCTCCGCAGCCCCGTCGAGCCAATTCCCGCCTACCCACCATGAAGTAGCGGAGCGCAAAGACGAGGAAGACGGAGGAGTGGCATCAGTCGATCATAGTGAGATTGTCCATGGAGTCGGTCATTTGAGCTTAGGAGTAGCGGATGAGGATGCGTTTCACTCGCGAGTACCTCGAAGTGAACCCAAATCTGCATTGGAGCACTTTGAAAGAGCGGTCGAGAAGGAGGCCGAAGGGAACCTCGGAGACAGTCTGCAACATTATCGCAAAGCTTACCGTGTAAGAAAATACCTTTATACCAAGGGAACTCTTTCTGACAAGTCTGGGTACAGTTAGATGCAGCAGTCGATAAGACGTACCGAAACAAGCATTTCGCCTGGTCATGGAAGAAGAATGCGCAGCCACCTGCCAATGCTGCGGTCAGCAGTGCCACGGCAACACAACCAGCTGCAGATGAACCCGAGATCATACCAACCCCGGAACTTATCGCTTCATTTGCTCATCTTCCCATCCCGCAGGCCGAGCCCTTGATCGAGAATACCCCTCCGCCGCCGTGCCCTATTTCGAAGGTTCCGTCCGAGGTTCTGGTCGAGATCTTGAGACATGTGGCTGTGATAGATCCGGCATCCTTCTGTCGGGTAGCACTCGTTTGTAAGAGACTGGCATATCATTTTGCACATGAGCAGCACATTTGGAAACGTCTCTGCCAGGGCTCCGAGTTCGGATTCAAGGCCATGCACTATTCATTCGCTTGTGACATCCACGGCATACCGGAATACACGTTAGGGCCACGCTACACACCTTTTCCTCGATCAATGCCCGTTCAAATCCCGGAACCTTTATCGTCTTGGGCGGAGGTCTTCCAGATATTCCCTCGGATTCGGTTTACGGGTATCTACATTAGTACCGTGAACTACACCCGCCCCGGTGCAGCCTCGGTGTACCAGAACACCTCGTGGAACAGCCCCATTCACATCGTGACCTACTACCGCTATCTGCGCTTCTATCCGGACGGGACAGTCGTCTATTTACTCACCACAGTCGAGCCATTGGAGGTGGTGCCCTACATCAGCAAGGAAAACGTCAAGGCGGCACGGGCAATTTCCCAGAAGCAGTTCCATCGTCATATGGCAGACCCAAGCAACACCATCACGGGCCCTACCGATACCATTCCTCCCGTCGCCATGGGTGCGCTGAGGCAAGCTTACCGAGGTCGTTGGCGCTTGGCCAAACCGGCCCCCGCCTCTGATGCAGCCGACGACGTTCCCCAGGACGATCTCATTTCCGGATATGAGTCCTTGCCCGTCAAGGCCCAATCAGCGGGCGCACCGCCTGACCCTCGGGATCTGGTCATTGAAACCGAGGGAGCCGGTCCGAAGTACATGTACCTCTTGCACCTCTCGCTTCGGTCGGTGTCAGCAGCCAAACCCGCTAACGCTAACATGACGCCACCCAATCCGTCCAAGAACACCAAGCTGGCCTGGAAGGGCTACTGGAGTTACAACAGGCTTACTGACGACTGGGCTGAATTCGGACTCAAGAACGACCGGGCGTTTGTGTTCCGACGAGTGCGCGGCTGGGGTATGAATTGAACGTAGGATATAGAGATTATATGAACGGTAAAAGGGTATGGGATAAAAGGAACAGTAATTTGCAATATAGAACCAACAGAAATGATGGGTATGCTAGATTAAATGAATTTAACATGATATCACGAATTAAATGGACTGTCATCGTTTAGAACTACTCCTTAGAACAAGTACAATATCTTGGGTCTAGACAGCTGCCAAGCAGCCGCTTATCGATAAGCAAAAAATTTCGGGGATCCGCAACTCCGCCGACAACAAAGTTCCCCATCCCAACTTGACTTGCGACATGACGTTACGCCTTTAGTCCTTTACCTTCTCTCCAATAAACCCCTCACACGCCATCACCATGCCGGAGAGGGTCCGTACAGTTTTCAACGACGAGGGCGACGCCGTCCCCGCCCCCGCCCCTAGCAAACCGTCGTCGCAAAAAGCCGAACAAGACAACTCCGCACCCGTCACGAAGCGCAAGGTCCACAACAAGGAAGACGACCACAAGCGGAAGAACAAGAAGCGGAAGCATGAAAATGGCTTTATTGTGAAAGGGGGCAAAACAGAGAATCTCAACATGGAAGTACCCCCTCAGCCTGAGCAGAATGGAGACGGCCCCGTCTCGGACGACACGCCAGCGATCAAGAAGCAGAAGCAAGAACAAGCGCAACCGCAAAACTCAGTGAAGGATGGAAAACGCAAAGACAAACAACAAAAGTTCAAGAACACCAATTTTACTCCGCTACGAGAAAAGGCGCAAGCGTTATACCAACAGCGCAAGAACCTCCCTATTTTCCCTCACGGCGACGAAATTCGCGGCTACTTGCGCAAGAACGATGTGATGCTGTTGGTTGGTGAGACAGGTAGCGGAAAGAGTACACAGATTCCTCAGTTCCTGGTCAATGAGAAGTGGTGTCGGACGGCTAAGACGGTCGTGCGGGACCGTGATGGTGCGGAGAAGGAGATCCCAGTTGGAGGGTGCATTGCGATCACGCAGCCTAGACGAGTGGCGGCGATTTCGCTGGCAAGACGAGTGGCGGAGGAAATGGGGACCCCGTTGGGTAATTCGTCGCCTGCGAGTAAGGTTGGATATTCGGTTCGGTTTGATACGTCGACGTCGCCGAGTACGCAGGTCAAGTTTTTGACGGAGGGAATGTTGTTGCAGGAGATGTTGCATGATCCGTGGTTGACAAAGTATAGTGCCATCGTGGTGGATGAAGTGCACGAGCGTGGTGTCAATGTTGATCAGGTGCTGGGATTCTTGAGAAATTTGGTGTCAGGGAAGAGGGAAGGACGGGGTGGTGTGCCTTTGAAGGTTGTGGTGATGAGTGCCACGGCGGACATGGAGAGTCTGATGGGCTTCTTCAAGGAAGGGTTCCAGGGAAGTCCGCGAGCGATTGAGGCAGCGAACAAGGATACGAATGGGGACTCCGCAGACCAGAAGAATGAGGATGATATTGCTGTGTGCCATATCAAGGGACGTCAGTTCCCCGTCAAGACGATCTACTCTCCCGAACCGGTGCATGACTTTGTTGATGCAGCTCTCAAGGTCATCTTCCAGATCCATTACAAGGAGCCGTTGCCTGGAGACATCCTGGTCTTCCTGACTGGTCAAGAGACGGTGGAGGCGTTGGAGAGCCTCGTCAACGAGTACGCAACCGGAATGGATCCGGCGCTGCCCAAGATCCAAGTACTACCACTCTTCGCAGCGCTCCCTCAAGCAGCTCAACAACGAGTGTTCGTTCCTGCTCCTCCACGGACCCGCAAGATCATTCTAGCTACGAACATTGCAGAAACATCCGTTACAGTCTCCGGTGTACGGTTCGTTGTGGATTGCGGAAAGGCCAAGGTCAAGCAATTCCGCTCACGTCTCGGATTAGACTCGTTGCTAGTCAAGCCCATCTCCAAGTCAGCCGCCATCCAACGTAAGGGTCGTGCCGGTCGAGAAGCCCCAGGTCAGTGTTATCGACTCTACACAGAGAAAGACTACCTGGCTCTGGATGAGGTCAACACGCCAGAGATTCTACGGTGCGACATCAGTCAGGCCTTGCTCAACATGAAAGCCCGCGGTGTGGACGACATCATGAACTTTCCCTTCCTGACACGGCCCCCGCGAGAGGCCTTGGAGAAGGCACTGCTCCAGCTCCTGAGCATTGAAGCCTTGGAGGAATCCGGCAAGATCAGTCAAATCGGGTTGCAGATCGCCAAACTGCCTCTCACCCCGACACTGGGTCGCGTACTTCTCGCAGCCTCAGAATATGGCCCAGAGTGCTTGCTGGACGTGATTGATATTATCTCCTGTCTCAGTGTCGAGAACATCTTCCTGAACATCACGTCCGAGGAAAAGAAAGAAGAAGCCGAAGTAGCGCGTCGCGATCTCTACAGACGAGAGGGTGACCATCTCACGATGCTCGCTACAGTACAGGCCTACGCTGCGGAGAATACCGACCGAAAGGCATGGGCTGAGCGGCATTTGGTCTCCCACCGAGCCATGCAATCCGTAATGGTAAGACTCCCCCTCTCTCTTTTTAACAACATCAAATCAACCAGAGTTTCATCACAGGACGTCCGCAAACAGCTCACAACCCAATGCCGGCAAGCCAAGCTTCTCCCCAATGATGCCCGTGGCTCAGCAGCAAGCACATCGGTCCGCGACCCATCGCCCATTCACATCCTGAAAAGTTTCCTGCGCGGGTTCTCGACGAACACGGCGCGTCTGGTACCAGATGGTAGCTACCGCACGGTGGTGGGCAACCAGACGGTGGCAATTCACCCGTCCAGTGTGCTGTTTGGAAAGAAGGTTGAAGCGATTATGTACAATGAGTTTGTGTTTACGAATCGCAGTTATGCGCGGGGCGTGAGTGCGGTGCAGATGGATTGGGTGGGAGAGGCGCTTGCTGGGTAGGCTTATAGATAGATGTTGTATGTGATTTGCTTAGATGGATAGATGATAGATAGTTGGATATACCCAGAGCATAGAAGCAATTATCATTTAAGACTCTACTATATTACTATCTATCTTTTCCCAGGGAAACCCCTTCACATACCGTGGCCACTATCTCCAACGTAAAATCTACGACAGCAGCTATGACTCTACAATCACCATCATCCATCAACCTCACCACAAACAAATCCCCCCAAAAAACCTATCCTTAGTATTTCATAGGCGCTATCTCCCCAACATGGTGCCCACCGTTAATAAACTACTATCTACAGCGGTAACTAGAAAAATTCCGGACCTCCGACGGCCAATAAACCATCCGCTTACCAACCCCATCACCCAAATATCAATAGCCCTATTATCTTTATGCAGACTAATCTCCCCTCCCAATCATATTCAACTTCTCGAAACTCCCAGGTCTCATCTCAATTCTATGCAGATAGTTAAGTAGATAATAGAAAGATAGACTCTTCCCACAACCGTATATATCCACTACGTAGTAGCTAAGCGTCATCTCCACCCCGAGAATAAACCCGCCTACGGAACATGAACCCGTGTCATTCCGTCCCCACATGCATACACATCCGTTTCCTTTACCCGTGTCTACTGTAGTTATTGTCTGATTGTAACACCCTTCGCCATCAGTACCCCGAATTGCGAATATGCGCATAGACAGATAGAAGCAAAACCTATGGTAAAATCATCCCCATCCCGCCCCTTCCAACTCAGGACAAAAATAAGATTAAGATTAAATACTCAAGCGGCGAGGCGCTTTTACCATTGATCTGCTCCAGGGAATATAATCATCGAATTTACCAACTCTTCAATCATAAAAGTTCTAGAATGAGGATAAATCATTAACCGTAACTGAGAACTCTCAATTGAGGTGTGGGGACATTTTAAGATGAGTAGTGGTATATCATCGGCTTATTGAACTACCGTCTCTACCTAATCTAGTACTTACTACTAGCTAGAGAGTGAGTATCATTTCTCAGCTCCACGTATAAATACATGCATTGGAGGAAGGAAGGAAGGAAGGAAGGGAAATATTAAAGAAGTGGAGTCGGAACCGTTCCGATAGACTAGAATAGAATAGGCAGGCAAAGCGTAGCCGTGTTTATTATCGGGATTAGGTTTAGATTCATACTTGAACTAGTTAGTTGTATCTTGGTGACTGATTAGGTAGGACTATACACTCAATCATAAATATTGCTAGTGAACGTTAGAGTCTGTTGGGGAAGAAAGATTATGATATGTCTGTCGCGTGAGATATTACCCTATTTAGGTAGGTGAATAACCAGCCCACCCTTATCCTAGCTGTCCGTCTTCCAAGTGGTAGTGGAGTAAATAAAAGATTAAGGGAACCCAGGACGGAGTTGGATAGATGTAAACAGCATCCCCATCCCGCATTAGATTAACATGAGAGACAGAGTCTAGAGTAAAAGTATGAAAAGAGAGGGTAAGTCGCGTGAGAACTTCCCATCCCTAGCTAGACCGAATAATTACCATCTATCTAAAGAGATAAGTGAACGTACTGCATGCAGGAGCCACACTCACTGGGTGCAGATGAAACCGAACTAATATAGTATGAGCAGTGATAGATACAAGAGTATTATTACTTCAAGACGGAATATGTGTCTAATGGTTAGTTGCATCGGGGAGATTCGGCCGGAGGTACTAGTAATTAGGATCCATTCAAGTATATGATGTGTAGATACTATGTTATATGGGCAATTCCTTTATCTACTTCCTGCTATTCATATGACAATATCAATTATCAATAACAAATATATACTAATCTCTACCCTCTGTCTCAGCAGAATAGAGCAGAATAGAATAGACAATAAATAAACCAAAATATACAGAGTAGAAAGAATGACTAACTACTACTATACTGTACGGCCACAAATAAAATAAGTATGGCCTGGTCCAAGCTTCACCCCTTCCCCCTCCCCAACCAATCCCATCCCCAGGATCACCCACGCGCAGCACATCCACAAATACAAAAAAAAAAAAAAAAAAAAAAAAAAAGTAAATAGCCTAAAGTCAAAACCAAACTCACATGGCCACTCATTCTCCAGTCTCCACCCGTCATAAAACGCAACGCCAAAAACAGTCGGCTAAGTTAATGGTTACCGCTGACACATTCGTTACTTACACTGCATACAAACTGTTTACATGCTTGAATTTTGCAATACCCGCCATTACCCTACCACAGTAATCTGGCTAGACTATGTACTAGTGTGTACTATGTAATATGTACATGCCGACCCATATGGATCAACTCACTCACTCACTTAATCATTAGTAGACTAGTCTCTCCTCTGTAAGACTAAAGGAATGACTACTGCAGCCCACAAAAATAAAGAAAAAAAAGAAGCAAACTAAGCAACAGCGGGACCCGCGGAATGCATTTCTCTCACCATCGAGATCCCTCCAGGGGAGCACGTGCCCGGTTGCCTGTTTTGTAGAGGTAGACTAATGTAGAAGATTCACACCCCACTGTCACTGTCACGGGTTGACACATGTCCCATCCATTCTCCTCTGTCCAGGTTGGTTGGGGGAATTGCTGGGGTTTACGGAGTAGTAGAAGGGAAATGTGAGTGTGGGAGAGTGCAACTCCGGAGTAAACTAGACCGAAAATCTACTTTTAGACCATTATTTCTCCGCGCATCCTGGGATTTCTTTTATCCTGTAGGCAGCAGCAGCAGCAGCAGTCAATGATAAAGTAGTAGTAGTAGTAGTAGTAGTAGTAGTAGTAGTAGAACGCTGCTAGATAAAATCCGTACACCGGGAAAGAAACTCAAAGTGAGAGAGGAAGGGCGGGATTTGCTTATTATTTAGAAGGAAAGAAATCGATTTAGCTTGCATATTTGCTTTACTATGATATTCATTCATTCCCGCAAAGTTGTAGTTGGTGACTACTGCAGCTACTGCAGTAGCAACGTCCAGCTGAGCCAGGGTATTCTTCGGCAAAACTAGTTGCTTCGTGCTTAATCTACTACGCCAATCAATTCACCTCGGCATTTGAACCCTCGATATCTTTTCCCGGTGGAGGGAAAGGAGAAAAAAAAAAAAAAAAAAAAGACTAGCTAAGCTTAGCTAAGTGCGTATCTAGTAGATCTACTGTCCAATCAAAATCACAGAAAATTGCATTGCTTGTCTAAATGGTATGTAAGTGATCATGAGACATCGTAACGAGGTATCTAACTAATCGAATCAAATCGAGCGTTGAGTGAAAATCTGCTGCACCCTAGAAACTCCCACCACTGCCACTACTGCTACTCCCAGCGTAAGTACAGTCCCGGAAAAACCCCTCGATGCGTCGTAACATCTTCGCCGGGTTGGAGTACATGGGGAAGTGCCCGCTTGTGGGGATTTGCGCCAACTCAACCCCCTTCATCTCTAATTGACTCAGAAATGACACTTCGCGGTTCTGGTCTCCGAACATGTACATGAGCGGGCAGGATAATCGGAGGAAGCGACCTAGGAGGTTCTTCCATGAGAGCTCGACGGCGGAGGTGACGAGGGGGCGGACGGCTTCGGGCCGCACGCGGGAGGGCAGTAATGAAGCGTACAGAGCGTGTGAGTAGCCTGGGGTGGAGTGGGCGTGGGCGATGAGTTTCTGGAGGTCGTCCTCGGGGCTAGAGGAGGGGGAGGATTTAACGAGGTCGGTGTAGAGAGAGCGGGTGAAGAAACAGTTCTCTGGGGAGAGGGTGCCTTCGATGTTGATGAAGGCGAGTAGTTGGTATTGTGTTGGGGGTAGAGAGGCGGCGAGCATGAGGCCTGTTAGGGCGCCGGTGGAGTGTCCCATTAGGTAGAAGGAGGTGATATGGAATTGCTTGAGCACGGCTTGGGCTGTGGCCACGAGGAAGGAGATGGTCAGGTCGCTGCTGGGACCATAGTATTCAGAGGCACCGCAGCCGGGGGCATCGTAGGCGATCAAGGTGTGGTCTCGTAATGATGGGAGGTAGACCAGATCGTGGAGATCTTCTTTGCAAGAGCCGAAGCCATGTAGGAAGAGTATAGCAGGTTTGGGTCCGGGGCGATAAAGGGTAGAGAGCTTGAGGGGATGGTCATTAACCGTCAGAGAGAGGGTTGAGAAAGATGGAGGTGGACTGTCGAGGATCATCATGAACGATAAGGGCAAATAATATAAGATCGAGGGATTTTAGGTTTGCGCAAGGACTCAAGGGACTGAAACAGGCAGGGCAGGGCGATAGTACTTACTTCTTATATGGCTCTCAGACGGACCTAGGGATAGCACCTGTGTTACTGGTGTAGAGCCCAGCCGAACAGGCCGCATGGTGCTAAAGCGCCCATAAGATGACGAGTGGATCTTTCAGCACCCGATTAGCGCATTGACTAACTGTAAGGTAACTTCGGTTCCGAGTCACAGCCTGTCATCCACAAGCAAAGAGCCATACAAAACTCCGAAGACGCCAACGGGGGGAGCAATCCGTAATTGATATGACAAGTGGGAACTAAATGGCTTCACTCCGGTTCGACTAACGGCAAGTGGGGGCGTGAAATGGTCCGTGGCAAGGGACGCCCGGCAGATTCACTGCTAACTCCAGTAGGGAGATAGTCCAGAGTAAGTAGGTATGATCATAATTGGTTTCTTCTCCAAATCATTCATTTGTGACACGGCTGAGCCGGCCATCCTTCAGCTGAAATTATTCCAGCGAAGCTAGTGGCATGCAGTTAGTCCGAGTGATATCTCACACATTCACACTATGTACATCCATGTCGCATCCAGTCCCTGGTCTATTGCCAAAAGTGCGTGCTTCTGATTCCTCCGATCCTGTCCGATGCGCTCCGAAGCATAGTTCAGATCTGCCCCTCTACCACTGACGCCGTCGTTATGCACCTTTTCCACGCGCAAAATGCATCCTGCGCCCGAATATCGCCGCCCAAGGGAAAATATCGTCTAGCTGGAAAGTGCCACAGTGCGTGCAATATATATGGGATGTTCCAGAATCGCCATAGACCATGTGGCAAATGCATAATACAGCCGCATATAGCCCAAAGAAAAAAACATGCAAATCATCCAGAATTCCTCAATGTACGACGTATGTAAACTCCCAGGATTAGAACACCACAACACCAGACCGATATGGTAGAGCCATTATTCAAAATAAATATAAAAAGCCAACGTGCGATATGTATCCAAGAGAGGGGTCTATAGACAAATGAAAAGATCCAGCTCTCATCTCACACCTCGCCCCAGCCTCCCAGGCCAGCTGCAACGGGCGCCACAGCACTCCCGCTGTCCACACTGCCCCCGATATCCCAGTAATTGCGACTGGAACCGGTAAGCGTCCGGCGGCTGGAAATGGCAGACAACTTGGCACTCTGGCTAGCACAGCTAGAACTGGGGCGACGGTGATGCGGGCGCATAATGGGCGACGACAGCCCGGTTGGTCCGGTGTGATGCGAATACTGCGATTGCCGGCGAATCTGCGCTTGAGAGCGCGAATGCGCTCGGGCAACGAGCGGATGGTGCTGCCGGATGATTGCCGCGCGACGCGATGCATCTTGCGGGGCTCTGCGGGGAGTGCTGTGATGAGAGTCGTTGTTGCTGCCCCGGTGGGTGAATCGGTTCCGCAGGTACCGGAAGACCATCCGAATATCCAGCTCTCGCTCCCAATACTCCTTCTCCTGTTGGGCGCGTGCTGATTCAGCCAGCGGCTCAGCCGCGGAATGGCTGGCTGAACGATTGACGATATCGTCATCCTCGATGCCCCATTGCGCCGCATGTTCTCGGCTACTGGGGTCGCCCAATGTAGGCAAAAAGTGTGGAGAGAGGACCGATTCTGCGTTCATAGTGGACTCCAGATTGGTAGGACCCACCGAGGCAGAAGGTGCGTCGGCCTCTTCCGGCACGCGATCGAGAGGTATGCCAGCATACTGATTCGGGATCTCATGAGACATGTTCAAATAGGTCGTGAACGCACCGGGATGTTCGCACAGCTGGTTGACGAGAATCCCCAGCTCGTGCGCGATGCGCTGCAGCACTTTACTCTGCCAGATAGGGTGGTCTTCCGGCACGGAGTCCAGCTCCTGGTTGAGTGCCTCGATGTTCGATGCATATTCCCTCGCTGAAATTGGCTCGTCATCTTCAGTGGAGGGCAACGACTCCCCGAAAATTACAGATAGCAGCGAATCATCGATCCCGATGAGGTCGCGGATGACCTTGCGGGTGATTCGCTGCAACAGAGACTCGTCCCCGTCTTCTTCCTCCTTTGCCGTCGAAGCAGAGTCGGACTCCTTGGGGGTCTCAAGGACCGCATCTGGAACGTCCGAAACCGTCGGATAAGATGCAACGGGGTCGGTGATGCCGCTGGCGCGACTATCACGCCGTCTGCGCGTTGCTTTCTCAATCTCCTGCAGAAGCACCCGGCTTTGTTCCATTCTCCATTTCTCAATGCGCTGCCACCGTTCTCTCTCCATGTCCGCCTCTTCTTCATTTCCAACCATATCCAACTGACGCTGGACACTCGAGCGACGGCGTGGCTGTAGGTCGGGTCTCCGATTGGGATTGTACTGTTCGTGCTGCCACAACTGGTTTTGTACAGCCTGGCTAGAAGCCTGGAAACTGCCGAGTCCATCATGGGCTGGGAGAACCGCAGGAGCCCCTTGGTCTTCTTGAACCAAGGACGGGGCTCGAAAGGCGTGTAATCCATCGTCCAGACTATCTAGTTCCGTCCCGTCATCGTCCAGCGGCTCATCGAGAGCGTCACCGACATCCTCGCTTTCTGGCCCGATCGCAGATCGGGTTGCCGTGCCAAACGAGCCAAAATCACTTAAACGTGAGATGCCTTGTGTTCGTGGGGTGCGATCAGTAGAGGTGGTATGCGTGCGGGCGGTGGTGGAGGGTTGTTGGGTCGGCGAGAAGAGCACCCATTCTGTAGCTTCGTTCTCCGGTAGTAACGAGAGGGGCGAGGTGATATCGGGGGCGGGAGAAGGCAGGGAGTTGGAATAGGAAGGGCGTCGACGGGGGACTTGGGGAGGTAGACGAAACGCCATGGGTTGACTTGCCAGATGGGAGCGATGAGGCGATAGCAGCAAGAATCGAAGTGGCTGGAGGTTTGGGGGGAGGGAGAGGGGAGGGAGAGGCAGATAGCGAGATAAGAACAGTTATCGATCGCGCGGTGGATCTTCCCCGCGTGACCGTGTTCGGAGAGACTGAGATGGGAACAGATGGCAATGAGGCAAGGGAGGGATAAGGCTATATAGCCACGAGCAAGCCTAAATGCCACCAAATGTTGGACAGTCAGGCAGAAGAAGCGTCTCGAGGCCTGCAGGGGGAGAGAAAGGGGAGTAAAAAAAAGTAAAGATGGCCAGAAAGGTCCGATAGCGCTGATGCTGACGCGAGGGCCTCTGCTCTCGCTGATGAGTCGGAGATGACGTGGGAGGGAGGAGATAAGGCGAAGGTTCAAGCCAGCAAGAAATGCTCCATGGTCCTTGGGAGGGGAGGAGGGGGTTTTGACACAGGAAATGGTTCCCCTCTTTAATGAAGAGAGACAAGTAGTCGAATAGTGCTATGGTAGACTAAGTATGGTAGACAAGACGAACAAGTCAACCGGACGAAATGAACCCGGATGATGCCAGTCACCAGACCGGGTCGGTGGGTGGATAATCGCAGGAACTCTCTCTCTCTCTCTCTCACTCTCTCTCTCTCTTTTTTCTCTCTGAAACAAAACGAGGAAAAAGTTTAAATCCATCGACGGGACAATCTTATCCACAGTTCAAGTCAGAACAAGGATTTCCTTCTTATTCCAGCTTTCTCTTTGTCTACTTTATAAATAAATAATAGTCTTGTCAATAGTGTCCCGTCCCCGACCAGCATCCAGATCAAACACCTCGTAAATACATACAGTAGAAAGCTTGGGGGGGGAGAAAGAGAAAGGAAAGGAGGTGACGCTGACTATCGAATCCGATCAACTGCATGGTGACGATCGGCTGATCGACGTCTGTCTGCGGGATCTGTCGAGTCTCGATATCACCACTCCCTATAGAGTACAAGTACGTACTTCCTGTGGAAGTTTCCTCCTATTGCTGCCACCTCAACCCCACCGACCGACACGATGAGAGATAGTATGCTTCGTACCTCGCGGTGTGTATGTGCATCCCTCTCCTGATTTTCGACTGGCTTCTCCACAAAATAAACAGGTCAAGCCATCGAGGGATCAGCCAGTGTTGATCACCCCATCGCTCTCTCCACTGGCTCTGATCTCAATGACATGTCATCATTCCTCCGTGTTGCCTGCATGGCCCAAGGCGAGGCGAGGCTGGGCTGTCAGTCAGTCAGGGGTTTGCTCGCTTCAGGTCTCGACTGCTGGCTGTGCCCGCTCTTTCAGCTGTAGTCTTCAGCCCCCCTCGGGTCTTATCTGCCTGTGTAGTCTTGTAACTTCGGTAGATAATACGATTAGTCTGTCCATCTTATGTTTGTACAATTAAAAGTGAAGAACGATAGATGTTTTATAGTGCTGAGATACTTGCAGTTAGGGGTAAGGATGAGATACTTAGTAAAGATGGTGCAACTCTCGGTAGGGTAGGACTACCTGAGAGGCTAACCTAGACTCTGGAGACAATATCAATGGGATTGTACGCTAGTAGTCTGACAGTTGGTATTTATCAAGTCAACAAATACAAATCAACTACATCATATAGAGGGTCTACTGCTACTATAATGCTAGATGGACATTCTCATCTACAGTGGTGTGCTACTAGTACATTTGGAATACATTAGCTTGATGATAGCACAGATATGATATCATTTATCTTTCCAGATGACAAAGTCGTAAGCAAAACAGGCTATCATTAGGTTGACATGACTGAAGCTTATTGGACTACTACCAAGTACTACTCAGTGATACTCTTACGGGATCATCCTACAGTATCATACTGTGCAACCATGCAAGCCGAGGAAATCCGCGTTAAATAACTCCGCCCCATACGGTGACTAAATGACATCAAGGATAACAAACAGGACATGAAAAGTGGGAATAGTTCAATACGTCTTTTTTTCTTTCGTGTCCTAAAGCGCTAAACATCCATCTAAGCCTGAGAAACGTTCTCGTAGGCGTCGGGGAAACGCTTCATGTTCTCCTCAACGAGACCGTGGCCACGCAGGAACTGGACGTAGGCACCGTCCTGCTTGAGCTTGCCCTCCTGGCGGAGCTGGACGTAGTCCTCGCGGCGGACGGGAGTGAAACCCCAGTTCTTGGAGACGATGATCTTTTGGCGACCGGGGAACTTGTACATGGAGCGGCGGAGAGCCTCGATGGCAGCAGCACGGTTGGCGTCACGGGTGCGGACGGACAGAATGATCTGGCCAATGTTCACACGGGCAACGGTACCCTGGGGCTTACCGAAGGCACCACGCATACCGGTCTGGAGACGATCGGCACCGGCGCAAGACAACATCTTGTTGATACGGATGACGTGGAAGGGGTGCACACGGACACGGAGGTGGAAACCTTCCTTACCGGCGATCTTCACGAGGTACCTGGATGTATGTGTTAGTGAATGATGGCTGGGCGTAGTGGAATCGGCAGGTCGGCATACTTGTTGGCACAGATACGGGCGGCTTCGAGGGCCTCGGAGGACAGCTGCTCGTACTCGTTGGAGACGAGGTGAACGCAAAGAGGGAAGTCATCGACGTTGGCCTTCTTACGTCCCAGATCGAAGATACGGATCTTGGGGTCGGGAACACCACGGTTGAACCGGGACTTAGGGTAGGGCTGTCATTCGAGGTTCATGTCAGTATTCATTCCCATCCTTGTCTGGTACACCTTTTTTCCATCCATCGTCAGGCAAGACATGATATCCATCGTCGTGAGCATCTCTTCGTAGCGCGTATCCTCGTTGGTGTTGGTTGACAAATGCTCCCCACAAGACAAAATCCCATCCAAAAAAATCCACAAAAACGCACAAAAATCCATCAAACGGTCGAACGCACCTTGTTCTTGCAGTAGCGGTAACATCTCGCGGGACGACGGGCCATCTTGACTGCTGGAAATGGGGCGGCTGCACTTCCTGCGAACGGTGAGGTTGTCGAAAAAGGTGGTGTCGGGAGGCGAAAGGGAAGGGGGATTATGGGCGCAGGCACTTTCCACGTTGATTTCCAAGCAAGCGCCCGCTACCGAGTGGCACAGCCCTAAACCCTACCCTCTCCGCCAATCACATCCCGTAGACGCTATGACGCATTTGTCAGACTACGGCAACTCCGACATTCTTGGAGTGTTCAGACTGATATATCAATCTTTCTAAGCTGTGAATGAAACATGTTTTACTGCGGAATGGAATGTGACGACTTCCAGCTGCTTTATAATTATCAAAATGCCTGGACTATTATCATGTGACTCATAAAGTGGAGTCGAGCTGCCGCCCTTCCCCCGGTTCTTCAGTGATACGACCGTGCTATCTTCCTGATCACTCCTACAATCTTATCCTACAGCGTTTTAATGGAAATCCAGTATAGATGTAAAGTTCATTGTCATTATCTAAATCGTGCCGTGACGTTGTGCATCATGGCATACCGCCGTTCAGACATAACATGAATTCATTGACCAGGCTTTACACCTACTGGCTGGACAGGATGTCGGAGTCACCAGCATCGAGGATAGCCATGGTGGAGGTACGGAAGAGCTTACCGCAGGCGGTACCGAGCTCAATCTGTTCACGACGATATTAGCGCATACTCCAACTTTACGTTGGGATCTCTATTGGAAGACGTCGTTCCAGAAATAGGTCCGGTCCCCGCTCCAAAGAGATCCCAAACAGACGGATCGTGGTCACTCACGTTGTTTCCGGAGAAGTGGTGGACGGGGGCCTTGGCGAGCATGGCGTAGTACTCGAGCTCACTCTTGCGGAGAGGAGGAGTGTTAGCGGCGATGATAACCAGCTTGGCCTTGCCGGACTGTTGAGATTATTAGTCGACCATTCACGGATGTTTTGCACGGCGATTGCTTGAAATATCCGGTGTACTCACGCGGAGGGTCTTGATGGTGGACTTGTAGCCGAGGGTGACTAGATGGCACGATTAGAGACCGTCTAAGATGTCTGAGCTTGCAAATTCTGATATAACTTACCCTTTCCGGACTTCATCACAAGCGCCAGGCGCGAGTTGATGGTGTCACCGGTCTTCTTGCTCTTGGGGGCCATCGTTACGCTGAAGTTAACTAAACTTCTGCATGATCAAATTCAATCAGCATTTGTTCACTCCGCTATTTCAAAGCCCACTGCTGAATGCTACCGCATTTTGGGCATGACAAAAATATTTTTGACCATGATCAAAAACAACGGGCAATCAGCCGTGGCTTGCGGGGAAATACCACATACCTAAAGGTTTAATGTGGTTGTTGAGAGAAGTGCGCTCCGGCCTCGTCTTTTGAGATTGGGATGGTAAAAGAAAACCTATCACCCACTCTTTTTTTGTGGGTTTGACAAATGTCGGGTGACAATTCCTCCGTTCCGCGGCGGCTGACTCATCTTCCCGCTTCCAAGGTTGTGTTTCACGTGATCATATATGAGCCCGTACGGTAATGGGCGGTGAGGGTCGCTGCCTGGCGGCCTGATGGCTGCCCCGGTTCCTCCCTCTTTGCATGTGCAAGTGAAGGAGGCAGGACAATGATACATCATCGTTCTAGTTGTCTTTCTGTCTTCAGAACTGATCCTTCAGAGCGATACCTGAATATAGTTGATTCTAGCGTCTCTTAATCAATAAATGGTAACCGAAAGTGTGCAGTTCGATTTAGGAAGAAGCCGAGCTACCATGTCGATAGCAGAGGTCGCCGTGAGAGATACATATACCTGATGATCCCTAAATTGTTCCTGGTAGTCTATTTCTTGTGATGTATCTGGATTCGGAATAACTTTATATGGTATATCGTGGATCCGGATATATTCTAGTAGTTCCTACATTAAGACTAATTGTTTACACTATCCCTCACTTCTTTCTCACACCGGCATAGTGCAGAACTGATTTTCACTTTCATATTTCATCAAGCCCTGACTATGTCATTCATGAGATTGATCTGAATCCGTTGCCCGGACTGCAGCCCCGGACGTCAGTAAGGAGCCGATTCCCACGTGGTGGGGATCTAAGACCCTATGTCTGTTGTTCCTAGAAACCAATAGTCGTAGTCTCTGCAGCGCACGATGGATAGCCATTCTCTTTATTTGGCTGACCTCATGGTCTAATGAGATAGAGTGAGTATTCTCTGGAGAAACTTAGTAGACGAAAATACATCCCGCCATGCATTATACTGCTCAGGTTTTCAACGGTACCTAGCTTGGAACCGGGGAGGAGTTACCATTGGCAGGAGTTGATTGTGCTCATTTGTTCTTGAGTCGCAAGTGATGCTGGCTCTAGCGATCTAGGCCTACTATTATCCTGATGATTTGGCTATGAGTGTTATTTTATCAGATACATAATAAGTCCCAGTATGAGGATGAGCATGCTAGTGAGAATGTTACTTGTGAACCAGTTATAAGCTCCTATGCATCATTCCATCTCTTCCTATCAGTTGAAGCTACATAGCCTGAGCCAATTCATACCAGGATGGTCGTTTCGTTTTTATTGCCTATTTGTTGATCGGTGTGGAGCCAGACATAGGGGTCCAGCCGTGCTATACATGAGAAGCCATATTAACGTGGCATGTAGACACTTGCGCTTTATGATTATTAGTCTTACTATCAAAATTATAGGTCCATCGGGGTATCGCTTTACGGTATGGTCGGTCAGGCAATACTATACGTAGTAAATCCAAGTGGGTAGGATTGGGGTTCTCAGGGGTTGTGGAATAGCATAGTATTTGGGGTACCCTCTTGATATATACTAGCCAGCAGAAGCACACTACTAGGCCTGTCACGTCACGGAGCAGATTCCTTGAAAGGAGAATTGGCAAGCAAGCCAACGCGGTTAAATAATTACTTTAATTTTACTTTGTCTACTGTCACAAGACCGTTCCTTAGATATGTATCTATTGGGTATCCTGGTAGGAAAACCTTATACTACGCCCCCCTACTATGCCTAGGCCACATCGATGGAAGTACAAGAGTAACAACCGCATCCTTACAAATCAACATCAAACAAACCTCCACAGCTGCATCTTGTAGTCTAGGTAACTGTACTTGATACATGCAGAGTGAAGAGCCTTACATAAGTGGCCCGGAGACAGCCCTGCTGATCTCGATGCATGGCCGGAACCGTCACTACGGACGTGGCGCAGGATGTACAGTAAGTTTTGTCCGGCCCCCCCTTCCCTGAGGGCGGAAATAGGTGATTGGATGGTAAAGGGTGGTTGCGACGATGGATTACGATGGTCGACTCAGCTTTAAGACTGACAGATGGCTGGACCCTGTGTGCCGCAAGGAACCCCAAGGGAGGGTTGGTGAGAAATTACTATCTTTAAACGTTGCCATGTGTTGGCTCCGTGTTGTCGACCAGGTGAGGGGCCCCAGTTGGATTGTTTGGTATTGGTGCTGCCTTGTCGCCGGAGTTGGAGTTGGCATTGCCACTTTCCAGGCGAGCCACGATGGCAGATGGGAATGGATGTGACGGGAAGAGTAATGAGAAATGAATAAGTCATGAGTGAGTGACAAGAGTTATACAGAGCACACATAGTCTGGTGTTAGTCATTCAATCGGTGATGAAATAGGGGAGAAGGGTTATGTAACGTCGGTAATCATCGATACCTCAATGCGACATAATAAGTTACCCTGGACGGAGAGATCCCCAGGCCAACAAGGGCCCAACCGGTAACGTATGGTAAGTTGGGGCCTTAAGACCTGCCTTAGACTACCAAATACGGTCGTTCCCATACATACTCCCGTGGACATTGTATCGTGCCCATCAACCCAATCGAACAATTAATGCGCCCACCTGTTCCCATTATTATTCCTTTTTCTTTCCCACCCCTTCAAGCTTTTTCTCTTTCTTTCGCATGTTTGTCGGATTCATCCCTAACTTGCGATCTTATCCCTCAGATTCCCCCCAGTCCTCTACTTAAATACTACTACCCTCCCCCCCCAGTATCCTTACTTGGTGGTTCTGGAAAGAGGCTAGCCGTGGCCAGCCATTCTGAGCCATCCCCCACCGAGATAGTAGGTCACCTAGTGTGCCCACTGTGTTTTGACCGCTACAACCTCTCGGCCGCTGTCCCTTAAATTTATCGACTTAATTTCCCGGCTGTTTCATACCAGTTTTAAAGCCCCAGAGGCCTTTCTTCTCCTTCCCCTTTCTGGGCCGCTTTGCGTCTTCTGGAATCATTCTACGTTTCTGGTGTGAACCCCATTGTCGGTAATCATGTCGGCGACGCCTCGCAAGCCCAGTACCCCGGGCAATTCCAATAGAAACTCGACTGCAGAAAGTCACACAGCCAGCGGCACTGCATCGCGAACGCACACCCGCTCTCCCAGTGCTTCGACAAATGGCGTCACTCGTTCCCCGTCCCTCCGTGCTTCGACTCCGGTCTCTGCGCGGGCTGCGGCTCGGAAACCCGGTCGCTCCAACCTGAGCACATCCAGTGCCCCCAAAGTTACGCCCAATCAATCCGACGAAGAGGCCCGGGCCCAGACCGCTGCTCTCATTGATGACCTCAAGGAGCAGTTGCAAAAGGCGGAGACCGCCTCGGAGCAGTATCGCAAGCAATTGGGTGTCCTTCAGATGCGCCTCGATGAGGCGGTGAGCGAGCAAGGCAAGTTGGAGGACCAGAGCCATGAGAGGGATAGCAAGATTGAGGCCCTGAATGGCGAGATCCGTGACCATGTTCGCCAGATTCGCGACCTCGAACAGGCACACGAACTGGAGCGGAATGCCATGCTACAGGAGAAGGAACAGCAGGCGAGTCGTGAAGAAGAGATGCAGGCTACCATCCAACGTCTGAAGGAGTCGCTGGCCCAGAAGGAGCGGGCAAATGCTGCCGATTCGGATAAAAGTGTGTCTCGCTCATGTAAGAAGATCATTTCTTCTTCTCCTTTGTCCTCGTCTAGTGTGAAACCTGCTAACATGCCCCCTATAGCCAGTTTCCGTAACCGGGCATCACCGGATGTCGATGGTCAATTCGCACCCTCTTCCCAGATCGAGAGAAGCCCTTCCCGCAATAACTCGAAGCTGCTTTTGCAGAAGGACAAGTTGATTGAGTCTCTTCGGCTCGAGCTGGCTGAGTCCCAGATCAAGCTTGTCGAGATGGAGAACAAGGGCGGTGGCAGACAGCGGGAGCTGGAGAAAGAGCTTCTGGAAGCTCGCATGGCGAATGCCCGCTTGATGGAGGATAATGAGAGCTATCAATTACTCCTTAGTGAGAGAACCCTCAATGGTGATTTCACAAAGGGTGACTTCATGCGGGAAGTTCACCCGGACACTGCCGAGGACGTCAAGGAGCCTGGCAGTGGCTTGGGTTCGTTGGCTGACGAGCTAGAATCCGTCGATGCTCGAGCAGAGACAGACAACACCCGCAAGCTGGAGACGGAGATCAAGGCGCTGAAGGACCAGAACAAGGCCCTTACCCTCTATATCGAGCGGATTATCAGCCGTCTCCTGCAGCATGATGGTTTCGAGACCATTCTTGACAAGAATGAAAACGACCCCCCTTCCAAGCCGATGCCTGCGCACAGCAACAAAGAGCTTCCACCAACGCCCCCTGAGAAGGATGATGCCCAGCAGACCTTCCTCCAGCGCGCCAAGTCGGTCGTTGCAGGCCCGAACCCGAACCCTCCTCGGCCTTCGACTCAGCCGCGGTCACGTCCCACAAGCTATATGCCTCCACCCACCAGTGTGCCCACCGCCCACGAGAACCCGCAGACGGCACCTAGCATTCCCCTTCGTGCTGGGTCAATTCGCGGTCACCGCCGCACAAGGTCGGAACAAACGGACGTTGGAGCAGCATCCGTCGTGGGTCAGATGTACCGGGGACGCAACTCGGGTGGTCCGATCAGCCCTACTCTCATGGGACCTGGAAACCGTCAAAGCGCATTCTCCAGCGCGAGTATCATGTCGAGTATGAGTACCGGTGGTCGTGCGCCTTCACTCTCCAGTCAGCCTGAGCACAGCCGGTTGAGCAGTTCGGATAGTGTCACGAGCGACCCCGCTGGTGATACGGCATCCACCGGTGCAACCTCCAGCTCTCCCCGCTCTAGCACCGGCATGACCAACTACACTGGGGCTGTCATGACTCAGAACAAACTGCGTCCCCTGCGCCTAGTCAGCGAGACTAAGCTGGCCGAGGAAGAAGAAGCTGCCCGCAAGAAGGCTAATCGGGGCAGTTGGATCCCTTGGTTCAACCGTCCCAACCCTAGTGAGGCCACGCAACCTTCAACCTGAGCGTGTCAGTCTCGTGGAAAATGTGGGGTAAACCCACCCGCCTGCAAATAGGGATATATTCTGTGCTTTGTGTTAATCGCGGTTAATCTGCATGATCTTCCAAGTCCTTGATGGCGGGTTGTTGACCACTACGGTTAAACTCTTACCATTCTTCTTCGGTGTTGATCATCATACTGGTGTTGAGCCCATTATGGCCCAGGTTGCCCCCCTTCGAGCATCTGGCACTTTTTTCGCGTCCATTTATTTGCTTTGATTGAATTTTGGAAATGTGATAGACGACCACATTGAAACGTTGTGATGATGCCTGACATGGGTACTGCTTGGACACTCTTTTTTTACCCCCTCCACAGACTACTCTTGGACGCGACGAATCTGCTTTGCTTGTTTATGCCCCTCCTTATATGATGAACATACCTATGGTCTATATACCTCGATCCCGAGTGAAATTGTCTTGTGTTTTTTTGTTGTTTAATGATGTTGTCTAGACCTTTGTATTATAGAGCCAGTAAGTAAATATGAATCTATAACCAACATAGTAAGATGTATGAGTACCAAAAAAGCGATGCTAGAGTTATATAAGTGTAATTCTCCGACTACCTCACCTAATTTAATTGAAAGGTTAATCAAAAGACGTGGCTGATGTCCCTCCTGTATACCCCGGAACAAAGTTCGAGCGGCGCCCGGATTGCGGCCAGCTTGACGGTAAATAGTTGGAGTCCCATTGTAGCCCCCCCGGAGCTGTCACCACGTTAACCAAACCGATATTCCTGAACCATTGCCCACCATGCCCGGCTCTCTTTCGCTTTTCTCCGTCAATGCCGTCCTTCTGATGTCGGCCGACGATGGCTCTCGCATCTTCGCCAAGTACTACTCCCCTCCTCACCCCCCGGCCGGTGCTGCCCCCAACTCGACCGATTACCCCGGAGCGAACCCCTACCCTACCGTGAAAGAGCAGAAGGCATTCGAACAAGGCCTCCTCGAAAAGACCAACAAGCAGACCAGTGATGTGATCCTCTACGACAACCGGATAGTGGTCTTCAAGATGGAGAGCGATGTGATGCTCTATGTGGTGGGAAGTGCCGACGAGAACGAAGTGCTGTTGTACAACGTGGTTCTGTCGCTAAGAGATGCTTTGGGAATCTTGTTCAAGTATGCATGGCCTATATTACTCAGGTGCGATAGGGATAGATCGATTGGGCTAACTTACTTTGTTCCTCAGGGGCGCAACTGACAAGCGCACAATCGTCGAGAACTACGACCTGGTCGCCCTGGCCATCGATGAGATTATCGACGATGGAATCATTCTGGAAACCGATCCAGTGCTGATCGCCTCCCGCGTCAGCCGCGCTCCTGCTCCGGATGCACCGAACTTGAAGAGCATCGACCTGTCTGAACAAGGTCTGATGAATGCCTGGGAGCTTGGAAAGCGGCGTCTGGCGGAGGGGTTGCGGCAGATGTAATTGACGTTGATGATTCTGCAATTCTTTATTTGATGCATTCTGATGTGCTTTCATCTTTATTCTCTTCATGTCATGTCTTTCTGTTATCTAATCTGGCTGGTCCTGGCGTGGTATTTGTGCGCATTGCTTGCTCATTGTGGAAATCATTTCCATTCTTAACATTCTTACTACTACTATTTGCCCCCGCATTTCTTTGTTGCAGAGGCTTGAGGTACCTATAGAGATACTCCTTGGTGTTTTGCTGCGAAACGTTGTGCATCTTAGCTGGGATGGTGAGAGATCGTCTAGAGGCTTCGTCCTATATATATATATAACGGACGGTCGGCAACCAATTTACAGCAATGAGAGGTCTATAGTAAAGAAAATATGCTTAATTTGCACGCGGACCTATACTGCAATACAATTTGCATTACAAGTGGACATGATTGTAATAGATAACTAGTAGCCGATAAGGTGAAAGCAATGGACAGTCATGGAAAGCAATGCCATCCATAGGCGAAAAAGCGCCCCGCATACGTCACGCCCGCAAGTTCGGAGTCACTCTGCAAAACTCTTGAACCACCGCATCAACCCAGCGCAACAGCCTCGCTCCTCGGGGAAACAGGAATCAGGCCACCAGAAGATGAAGCAGAGATTCTCGTCCTTGGATGTCAAGGTGAGAAGCCCGAGCAATACCCCACCACTCGCAACTGCCGCGCACCAAACTCACACAACAACTGCCAGGTCATCTCCCAGGAACTTGCATCGGAGATAGTCAATCTGCGAGTTTCGAACATCTACGATCTCTCCTCGGTATGTTCGCCCCTTCTGAATATGAAGGTTACCCACAAGCAAGCTCATTCATAATCCATTCAGCGCATCTTCCTCTTCAAAGTCGCCAAACCCGACCACCGCAAACAACTCGTCGTCGACTCCGGCTTCCGCTGCCATGTCACCCAATACTCCCGAGCGACTGCTTCAGCGCCCACGCCCTTCGTGACGCGCATGCGCAAGTTCCTCAAATCGCGCCGAATCACCTCCATCGAACAGATCGGCACGGATCGGATCATCGATTTCTCTTTCAGCGATGGCATGTACCACATGTTCCTAGAGTTCTTTGCCGGCGGGAACATCATTATCACCGATCGCGAATACAATATTCTCGCGCTGTTCCGGCAGGTACCTGCCGGCGAGGGACAGGATGAGACTCGCGTCGGAGTCAAGTATACGGTGACCAATAAGCAGAACTATCACGGTATACCGGATATCACAAGGGAGAGAGTCCAGGAGACGGTGGAGAAGGCCAAAGCCCTGTTTTCACAGGAGGGCAGTGCGCCGAAGAAGTCCAAGAAGAAGAATGCGGATGTGCTTCGCAAAGCTTTGTCCCAGGGTTTCCCGGAGTATCCGCCTCTGTTGTTGGATCATGCGTTTGCTGTGAAGGAGCTGGACCCCGCTACCCCGCTCGATGAAGTTCTGCAGGATGAGGCGCTTCTGACGAAGGTTGTGGATGTGTTGGAGGCGGCGAAGGTTGAGACGGATAAGCTGGCTACGGAGAAGAGTCACCCGGGTTATATCGTTGCGAAGGAGGATACTCGTCCGTCTGCGGACTCGCCAGCTCAGGGTGAGGAGGACGCTGCGCGGAAACCGGGGTATCTGTATGAAGATTTCCACCCGTTCAAGCCTAAGCAGTTTGAGGGCAAGCCGGGTGTTACTATTCTGGAGTACCCGTCTTTCAACGCGACTGTTGACGAGTACTTCTCGTCTATTGAAACACAAAAGTTGGAGTCGCGGCTTACGGAGCGGGAAGAGACTGCGAAGAGGAAGCTTGAGGCTGTCCGACAGGAACATGCGAAGCGCATTGGCGCTCTCAAGGAGGTTCAGGAACTGCATATTCGCAAGGCCGGAGCAATCGAAGATAATGTTTACCGGGTTCAAGAAGCGATGGACGCAGTCAATGGCCTGATTGCTCAGGGTATGGACTGGGTCGAAATTGCCCGTCTCATTGAGATGGAGCAAGGAAGAGGAAACCCGGTGGCCAATATCATCAAGCTGCCATTGAAGCTCTACGAGAACACAATAACCTTGATGCTCGGAGAGTCGGGTGAAGAGCAGGATGAAGGCGAGGACCTGTTCTCGGACGATGAGTCTGACTCAGAGGATGAGCAGGAAGAGGCCGCTAAGGCCCAAAAACAGTCAAACAACATGCTGACAATTGACATTGATCTCGGCCTGTCTCCCTGGGCGAACGCAACGCAGTATTATGAACAGAAGAAGATGGCTGCCGTCAAGGAGCAGAAGACAACGCAATCGTCGACCAAGGCACTCAAAAGCCACGAGAAGAAGGTGACGCAGGACTTGAAGAAGGGTCTGAAGCAGGAGAAGCAGGTTCTTCGGCCTGCCAGAAAGACTTTTTGGTTTGAGAAGTTCCTCTTCTTCATCTCGTCGGAAGGATACTTAGTCTTGGGGTATGTATCTTTCGTTGTGTCTGCAAAAATAGAACTTATCTAACTGGAACAGTGGCCGCGATGCGATGCAAAGCGAAATTCTCTACCGCCGGTACCTTAAGAAGGGCGATGTATTTGTGCACGCCGATTTACAAGGTGCTACGCCGATGATCGTCAAGAACCGATCCAATTCGCCCAACGCACCCATTCCCCCCAGCACCCTTTCGCAAGCCGGTAACCTTTGCGTGGCTACGTCCAGCGCCTGGGATTCCAAGGCAATCATGTCAGCATACTGGGTTACCGCGAGTCAAGTTAGCAAGACTGCTGACGCGGGAGGCCTCCTTCCCACTGGCGAGTTCCTCATCAAGGGTGAGAAGAACTTCCTGGCCCCCTCACAGCTCGTCCTAGGATTTGGTGTCATGTTTCAAGTGAGCAAGGAAAGTCTCCGGAACCATAAGCTACACCGTTTCGACGAACCCGTGGCTGCGGAAACGCCCGTGGAAGCCCAGGAAGCCGACAAGGAAGCTGAGGGCAAGCCCGTCGAGCAAGAGGCGCAGGCTACTAAGCCTGATGAACCTACTGAAGCGGAGAAGGAGCAGGAGCAGAGCAGCGAGTCCGAAGGGGAACAAGAGGACGATGCTGCGGTCCCAGCTAGAAACCCGTTGCAACGCGGGTCGTCAGAGCCTACCCAGACAGAATCGGTTGCGGCGAACGAATCCCAGAACGCCCAGGCTGATGAGGCAGCTGACGAGGAGAACAAGGACGAAGCCGAAGAACCGAACGGCAACAATGGAGACGAGCAAAGCGTTCAAGAAGAGCCAGCTGAGGGGGAGGACGAGGACGAGAGTGCGACATCGCCACAGACTCAAGATGATCGACAGCTCTCAGCTAGAGAAAGACGAATGGCTAGAAAAGGAAGAGCGTCAGAACTGGATGGACCTGCAGCGGACGGAGCATCTGTCAAATCTGCTAACAGCAAGCAAGCTCCAACTCGGGGTAAGAGGGGCAAAGCAAAGAAGGCCGCAGCCAAGTACGCTGATCAGGACGAGGAGGATCGGGAACTGGCTCTACGCTTGCTAGGTGCCAAGAGTGCCAAAGCTGAAAAGGCAGCTGCAGAAGCTGAAGCAAAGGCTAAGCGTCAGAAAGAAGCAGAGGAAGCGAAGAAACGACGCAGAGCACAGCATGAACGCGCCGCGGAAGCGGAGCGGAAACGACAGGCTCTCTTTGAGGGTGGTGCCGATGACTACGACGAAGAAACTGCCGCAGCAGAAGCAGCAGACATGGAGTGGATACCTGCATTGGTTGGAACTCCCCATCCGGAAGATGATATCCTAGCTGCTATTCCTGTCTGCGCTCCTTGGGCTGCCCTGGGTCGGTATAAGTATCGCATCAAGTTGCAGCCGGGTACCGTGAAGAAGGGCAAGGCTGTCAAGGAGATCATCGGACGCTGGGTTGCCGAAACTACAACAGGCAAGGTCAAGAAGGAACATGCTGAAGATGCTGGAATCGACCGCGCTACCGCTGAGAAGCTCCGCGCCAAGGAAGGAGATCTGATCAAAATGTGGAAGGACACAGAGGTCATCAATAGCGTTCCTGTCGGTAAGGTGCGCATTATGGCTGGGCCAGCACCTAGCGGAGGAGATAAGGGCAAAGGGAAAGGTGGCGGTGGTGGAAACAAGGGAGGAAAGGGAGGGAAGAAGAAATAGAGGCTGGACATAAGGATTGGGGTTTCTTATGATCTACATGGTGAATGATCTACAAAGTACTTTGGAGGAAAACACCAGAGTATGACTGTATTAGTTGGTTAGCTGTGACGCTATAGGCGATCACAGCATATGCATATAGTGGACACTCTGCAAACGAGGCACCTTTAGACATATTGTCTATCTCTTCCAGTTCATTCTCGACGTACAATTAAAGCATTGATGGAAAATAGAGAAATGGCCGAATCTGGACTGCGCTGCTTAGTCACACCCACCGACGTCATCACGAAGATTTTCCATTCGATCTGCACTTTTTTTCTCTGACATACAAGTTCAGCAACCCAACAGACATTCTCGTCGCCAATTGCTCATTCGTCTGGCAGCAGTCGCTCGGGCCGTACACACCTGGTGGAGCAGCCTGACAGGAGGTCCCCGAATCAGGATTTGCCTATGACCGAATAGCCTCGAAACGCGCGATACCCGTTCTCCTCTTTCCCCCCACTACCGAGAAATTTGTATCGCCTTAATCTACAAGCCGTGACTCACCCCACGATCGCTCGTTCCTCTGCTCTGTTCGGGGAACGAATATCACCTGCCAATCTGGTTCTACTCCTCTCTCGCCTTACTGCTCGCGGTCTCCCGCGCAGCTTCGTTAGATTCGCTTCCACCGCCCCAGCAACAGCAACCATGTCGCCCAAAGCTTCCACCCGAATCGCATCGGTTCGCCGTCTCAACAACGAAGGCCCCGGAGACCGATCCCTCGCAGAGTGGTGGGCCAACGAACGCGATAACCATACCCCGGAAGCGGCCGCCATCGAGAACGCCGCGCAACTTCTCCGAACCAGCGATATCCCTGTTGCTTTCCCCACAGAGACAGTGTACGGACTGGGTGCAGATGCGACGCGAAGCGATGCAGTACAAGGAATCTACAAGGCGAAGCAGAGGCCGTCAGATAACCCGTTGATTATACATGTTGATTCGCTGGGGATGTTGGAGCGGTTACTCAACCCCACACAGGAAAGCCCATCGCGCAGAACTACCACTGCGAAGAACGCCATCCCGCCCATCTACGACTCGGTCATTTCCCGCTTCTGGCCTGGTCCTCTCACAATCCTCCTCCCTAATCCCTCCGGCTCCCCTCTTGCTCCTGAAGTTACCTCCAAGCTTACGACCTTTGGCGTGCGCATGCCCTCATCCCCGCTTGCACGCTTGTTGATTCATGTAACGGATCGACCACTGGCGGCTCCCTCGGCCAACGCATCTACCAAGCCCTCCCCGACGGCGGCGGAACATGTATTCCATGACCTCGAAGGTCGCATCGAGCTGATCCTTGACGGTGGTCCCTGTGGCGTAGGCGTGGAGAGTACGGTTGTCGATGGACTGTCCGATCCACCGGCTATCCTTCGACCGGGCGGGATTGGTATCGAGGAGCTGCGTACGTGCGCTGGCTGGGAGAATGTACAGGTCGGATACCATGACGGCACACTAGATGCGAAGGAGGCCCCACGAGCACCGGGCATGAAGTACCGACACTACTCGCCCAAGGCGCGCGTGGTATTGTTCGAAGCCGGCTCCGACGAGGAAGCCGTCGCGAAACACATTCGCAAGGACCTGGAAGATTCAGCAGTCGGGGCACACATGATCGGGGTGGTCCGCACGCAACACTGGAAGCGGGGACTGGGGTTGCTGTCTGCCGACGAGATGCAAAAGAGCCTAAAGCGTATCCCATCGCTCGTGGACGAGCTAGTAGGATTCTCCGTCCCAGTGAGCGATCAAATCAACGGACACACTGCAACCAAGGAGACCTTCGACTGCCACCTCGGCACGGATGTCAAGTCGATCGCGCAGGGCCTGTTCTCTGCGCTACGGGCCATGGATGAAATGGAAGTGGACGTCATCTACGTCGAGGGTGTGCCCGATCATCAGGGAGATCTGGCAGCTGCTGTCATGAATCGGTTGCGTAAAGCCGCCGGAGCGGAACTCCGGGTATAATAACTTACAACTTCTTCCCCTAGGAGGATTATCATAGATCGCATTTTGGGCCCCATACATACACAGTATTTGCTATATTGGAGGATTTGGCTGGGTTGGCTAGAAGAAGCTATAAATTTACGGGACTGTTTACGAATTTAGCATGGATATCGCAGTTAGAACATTACTAGCACGAGTTTTAATATCAGTTTGAGCGTTATGATGGATAATATGATGTGCATGCATATCGATAATACCTAGTAGTATATATTCAAGAATTAAGTTTAGGGCTGAACAGCTGATCCGCAGGAAATCGATCTTCTAGAAAGCCTTATCTGTCGAATATATGAGTAGTCTATCTCCTTAGTTCCTACCCATATCAGATAGATTAACTACGGACTAGTCTATCATATGTGTGTGTGCGCAAATCTCCGTTCTCCGGCTGCCTTGGCATCGGCCGTCTCCGACTCGGCGTGATTCCGGGTCTTAGTTGCGAATTAACAGTGCGCCGCGGCCTCCACAGGTCACCGGATCTAATGCTAATTTTCTCACACTAGGCCTAGGCCCGGCTAGCTGCTTTAGGGTTAGGGATTATTTGGCTTAGAACTAGACTCTATTTTAACATATAGAATATGGATCTGTATTATTATTATTATTTTTCTTTTTTCTTTTGTTTCTATCTAGGAATGTCTAGATTTAGATGGTCGTATAACTCGATTTCTCCATTCTATTTGTGATCTCTATAGTATTGATAAATATATAAAGACAACTCGGGAGTACTGAGCAGCTAACAGTCCCAATGAAGAGGAGACGTTGCCACGCTTGGGACTGCAAGGGTAACGGGGCGGAGCGATCTGTGGGAGTCGATCTGTTAGCAATTCCTTGAACTCGTAGCAGATCATGTTTCATACTGACCGAGTGCATAGAGAAGGATCCCTTGTATCCCAAGTCCTCGGCGTCAAGGGTCAGGACGTAGTCCTGAAGATCAAGATCGGGGTTACCAGCCCAGGAGATGCCGGTGTTGTTTCACAGACCGCTAGATCCATCACCGTTGGTGGACACAATTGCATTATCGGCAAAGAGGAGGTCGCTGAAGACAGTACCGTTGGGGAAAGTGCCGAGACTTGGATGAAGTCCATGTTGGTAAAGTTTTCGGTGACGGTGAAGCCAGACCGATTCGCCTCAACGAAGAAGACGACGGCAGGAGAAGACACACCGTCGGTGCCAATGGCGTCAAAGTACCACCAGTTGTAGGAGGAGGCATTGATGTCCTGCATCTTGGGACTGTTGGAGAAGTTGTCGCAGGAGGTGAATTGGCCGTCTGCTTGGCTATCTTGGGGCGTGGTTTGGTAGGTTTTGATGTCCTTGACTGGAGGGCATTTCTGGGTGCTCAGGGCAGCAGCGCTGAGACAGAAGGGAAGAGTAAGATAAGCTAGCTCAGATAATATTTTGTAGAGTTGTAATAGAGCTTCATGGTTCATGGGATTTACAGGGGGGTGCAATGTGGCTATTTATGCTATTAGATGTAGTATCAAGCTTGGTTCATGGATCTTGATGATATAGTAGTATATGATGATTGGCAAAGAGAGAGCACAAATGCATAAGATATACCTATTCATATTTTGGGATATCCACAATCCGTTGCACTATTGTCTATTCATCATGCTATAGTTCACATACTACTAGGTCCAAATGAAGCATTAGGTATATGGCCGGGAGCTTCCGGAGTAGCCCTGAGTTCTTGGATCTGGGCCGGAACCGGCTAGTCTAACGCGACGTCGAAACTTCTGACTGATAGTGGGTCACCCCAAAATCTGTAGTTATAAAGTTACTAGATAGTGGGTCGTTGCCATGTCGAGAGTCTTGACTCGCCAGTTCTCATAGTGGAAGTTCACTCTCTTGCCTTGCCGCTTCCATAAGGGGTCATGCCTTGCTGTCTAGATAGCAAACGGAATCGGATTCTGAACCTCCGTACTCCCGAACATTGATGACTTCAAGGTGGAAGTTGTTCATCCGTATCCGAGAGAATTGAATGATTGCTACTATGTTCGGAGGTAAGTAGCTTAGGGAACAAGAGCTATGGTGTTACTGAACTCGAATAATTGTTATCGATCATAGAATATTGGAAATACTACTTGATGACCTTGGGACTTAGATGCCATGATCTGAATATTTGTCTATATAAGAACACTGACATTTAGGTCTTCGTCCTTCTTCCAGAATAAATCATTAACTAACTCATTTCACTGAAGCCCCCTTCGTTCAAATACATCTATCTCATTCCCATCTTAACTATGGAATCGCGGACTCTTCTCATAACCGGGGCCTCCGGCTATATGTAAGATTCTGAAGTTCTAACAAATCACCGGTCCAAAAACGAAGACTGCTAACTGAAATTATTGCAGCGGATGCTCAGTTTTGTCTGCCATCCTCAGGACCAAAGAAACGTGGGCTGCTAATCTGAAAGTATCGGCCCTGGTTCGATCTGAATCACAGGCTACAAAAGTCAGGGAGTTGGGTGTATCTCCGAAACTATTCTCCAGCTTCGATGAGCTGGATAGGCTAGAAGAGGTTGGTGAAGGCTTCGACAGTATGTGATTGAGAGCCTTCTTTTCTCATACAGAGTTCTGCTGACATGATCCCAGTTATAATTCATGCTGGTGCTGGTTGGCATACTCCCTCTGCGAAAGCCCTGATTAGGGGACAAGGCGTGCGGCGCCAAACTACGAACGCCGATGTCCACTATATTCAGACTTCCGGAACCTCAAACTTGAGTGATCGCCCGTATACAGAGGGGTATATTGATACCCATGCCTTCTCTGATGAAGAGGATATTTACTCATATGAAAATATCGCGAATTCCGTGAAACATACTTCCAGTGGACTACCGACATTGCCGTGATTGAGGAGGGCGAGGCCTCTGGTATGACTACTTACATTGTAATGGCACCTACAATGTTTGGTCTTGGAAGTGGACCATTCAATCGCTTTTCCATGCAGCTTCCAACCATGATCGCGGATGCACTTCGTACAGGCAGCTGCAGCGTTGTTTTTGAGGGATATACGGTTTGGAACCACGTGCATATCGAGGATCTGGCAGCCCTACACCCGGTCTTCAGCACATTTTCCGAGGCATCAAGATCCCCTCTGGTCGAAAGGGAATCTATTTCTGTGAGACTGGAGAGCACTCACACCTGGAGTTCTCGGAATACCTGGCTAAGGCTGGCCATTAGTTGGGCGTTTTCCCCTTTAGTGAGGTGGTGAAGATTACTATCCAGGAAGCAGGCGAGAAATGGGTTTTTGGCAACACATCTAGTGCTGAACTTGGCTTTGCGTCAAAGTATGTCTTTTTTCATCTTCTTCATACATACTTGTTGTGATTTCTGACACTATATTCTCCCAAACAGCTCTCGTACGAAGGCTGTGCTAGTCACAACTTGGGATGGGCGCCGCGTCCCATGCTGAGGAGTAGGAGAGCACATTCAGCGTGGAGCTGACTGAAATCTTAAGAATCCTCACAGTGGACGAGAGATCCCTAAGTATCTGAAGAAATAGATCCGTGAAGAAGGATTATATATGGCAGTTGAAAAATATGTTTGTTTTGACATGGCCAACTGAAGATATCGTCCAATCGCACTAGAACCCTCTTCAGTTGCTTTACTTGTCATCTACCTACTCTTTCTTCGTGATCATACCAACACACCATGTCCGTATAACGTGATTATTATCAATAATGCTCAACCACTCTTATCGCTCTTGGATCATTGATTACCCGATCCTGTTCTCTTTTTTTTTTTTTTTTTTTTTTTTTTTTTTTCTGAAGTACTATCTTGCAAACCCCGTGTCTAGACATTGAATAATAATATTTATCTCTTTTCTTATAACAAAGAACTCTTAACCACAATAACAGTTAATCAACTCATCTGTACCCCAAACTTTAACTAAAACTATACCTAATTTGAATCTGGCCTTATCTGTGCCTGCTGTGTTGATTCAGCGTGGCGGGAAAGCCGTGGCGTAGTCAGAGAAACGTAAGGCAAGAAGGGAAAAAAGAAGTAAAAGAAGCTTATCGTTGTCTCGTGGCCTGACGAATCCACCCACCGGGCGCGGAGTGGGGCCTCAGGAACAATCGCTGTTTGGCTGCGGGATTTTATCATTTGACTCAATCTGCGCTCCACACTTTTAGCTTGCTTCGGACGGAGTACCGCTTTGGGATAAATACTCAAAGTCATTTCTTGGATGGTTGTGAGGATTTACTTTATAAGGTCGTGGGTGTCCTCGTTTTTTTTATGGTTTCGCGATTGTTCTTCAATAAAGGAATACTATCCTTCTACTGTTCTTGTTACACTCTACATAAGGAGACACTGCCTACAAAATGTGCCAATTCAATACCCCCCAAGAATCCCACTGGCACGCTTTCCTCCAAGGCCTGCCCAAATGTGAACACCACGTCCACCTCGAGGGCTGCCTCACCCCCGACCTAATCTTCGAGCTCGCCTCTAGAAACAACGTCCAACTACCTCAAACCCCCGAATACACCTCCATCGACACCCTTACCGCCCGGTACGGCAACTTCTCCTCGCTTGACGACTTCCTCCACTTCTACTTCATCGGCATGTCCGTGCTGCACCACGAGTCCGACTTCTCCGACCTCGCCTGGGCCTATTTCCAAAAAGCGCACGCCGACGGCGTCCATCACGCCGAAGTCTTTTTCGATCCCCAGGTCCACCAGGACCGCGGCATTCCGTACGAGACCATCGTGCGGGGGTTCGTGGCGGGGTGTGAGCGCGCCGAGAAAGAGCTGGGTCTCTCGACCAAGTTGATTCTCTGCTTTGTGAGGCACTTGCCGGTCGAGTCGGCGGAGAAGACCTACCAGAAGATTCTGGAGAATGGGCACTTTGACAGTGAGGTTGTGCATGGGTTGGGGTATTCGTCATCTGAGGTCGGCCCGCCCAAGGATATGTTCAGGGAGATTTATGCCTCGGCTAGGGAAAGGGGGGTCAGGTTGACGGCTCATGCGGGCGAGGAGGGTGATCCGACGTATATTAGTACGGCGTTGGAGATGGGCGCCAGTCGTATTGATCATGGAATTCGGTTGGTGGAGGATGAGGTGCTTATGGAGAGAGTGGCGAGGGAGGGCATTCTCTTGACGGTTTGTCCGTTGTCGAATGTGCAGTTGAAGTGTGTGAAGGAGGTTGGGGAGGTGCCGATTCGCAAGTTCTTGGATAATGGGGTCAAGTTCTCCATTAACAGTGATGATCCGGCGTACTTTGGAGGTTATATTTTGGATAATTATTGTGCGGTGCAGGATGCGTTTGGGTTGAGTGTTTTGGAGTGGAAGACTATTGCGGTGAATAGTGTGAGTGAGAGTTGGATTGAGGAGGAGAGGAAGTTGGAGTTGGTTAGGAGGATTGAGGACCATGTTGGAAAGTTTGCGCATTTGGGTTAGGTTTGTTATTTGATGGTGTAGATGGGGGTTATGGAGTTGGTGTAATGAGTGGATGATAGATGCATATTTCAATCAAGCGTGATCTCAACTATCAATTAAACATTGTAGTGTGGATTGTAGCTCATTTCGTGGAATCTGGGCTATAAGTTAGTTATCTGATCGCATGCCAATGACTAAGATTGAAGTGTTGGCCCGCGGCGCATCAAACACCAGACATTAAATCCAACAGCAATAGACACAAAGAATATACTACTCCTTACTATTACTCTGGAAGATGCCGCCAACCATTTCCCCGCTGGCCTGTTGCATCCCCCGCACGCCCATCTTATGGTTCTCCCGCAACTTCCATTCGCACAAATTGTCCCGGACATTCTCATCATCGTCATCATCACTATCCAGATCTCCGCTCTCCGTGTCTCTACAAGTACCCTCTACGCGACATACATCTACGAGCATCACCAACACAAACCCTCCCACAATCGAGAAGATCTCCTATCTTCGCACCTACCAGAAACGAACCATGTCTGCTGCTCCCATTCCCGACCGGTACAAACTGGTCTTCTTCGTCCCGCATTCCGACCTCGAGGCCTGTAAAGAAGCAGTATTCGCGACCGGGGCGGGAACTTTCCCCGGGGGCAAGTACAAGAAGTGCTGTTTCCAGATGCCCGGTCAAGGCCAATTTCTGCCGTCTGAGGGTGCGAATCCTGCCATTGGTGAAGTTGGGACGGTCGAGACGGTCGAGGAGATGAAGGTGGAGGTGATGTGTCTGGGACGGTCGGTTATGCTGCAGGCAGTTGAGGCATTGATCAAGGCTCATCCATATGAGGAGGTCGCGTATGAGGTGTATAAGATGGAAAATGTGTAATAAACGGTTGGGGATGTCGGATGCGTTGCTGGGTTATAGGCCCGGTCGTTTTAGGTGTCACGAAGGCGTTTTGGAGAGATTTAGTTGTGGAGGTGCCTGTTATTAGTCCAGATGAATCTGCAAGCCAAATTAAAGCTGATCAAATAATATTAGAATTTTTGGATAGTGTTGGAAGAAGCTGTGATGTTGCAAAAAGGCCGTCGAGAGGGTCGTTCATTGGCACAAGGCGGGAGTAATCTGTCGGCGCTGATTGGTCAGCCGCAGCTCCCGCAAAACGCCTCTTCGACTCCAAGTCGGTCGTTCACCTTCAATCCATCAGATCAAGTCCTCCAATCCCCTCCCCATACCCTCAGTCCCCTCTCCTCTGCCAGCAATGGCTTCCAAATTCTTCCCCGCCGTCCCGCGGACTGGCCGTCAGCTCTTCCAGCAGATCCCCAAGACCCAATTCAGACCCTTCTCGGCTGGTCCGCAACGCTTCAGCGACTCCCTTGCCGTGGTACGTCCCAAGCACTCTTATGGCTGACTCGGAATTTGGCGGCATGTTGGATATTATCCCGCTTGTCAATTGCGCGTCAAAAAGCCATATCTTTTACGAGGGCGTCTTTGCTAACCAGTTGACTTTGTCCAGCACCGCAACAAAGGCGATAACAACCCGAATGTTCCGTTCAAGTTCACCGAGCAAAACCTCAAGCTCATCGATGAGATCCTCAAGCGCTATCCCCCCCAGTACAAGAAGGCCGCTGTCATGCCGGTCCTGGACGTTGGTCAGCGCCAGCACGGCTACACCAGCATCAGCGTCATGAACGAGGTCGCCCGTCTCCTGGAGATGCCCCCCATGCGTGTCTACGAAGTCGCAACCTTCTATACCATGTACAACCGTGAGCCGGTTGGCAAGTACTTTGTTCAGCTTTGCACGACGGTATGAAAATGGAGACCCCCCCTACCTCGCGTGCCATACCTTTCCTCGTCTTCGTCATCGCTGACAAGCCATTTCAGACACCCTGCCAGCTCGGTGGTTGCGGTAGCGACAAGATCGTCAAGGCGATCACGGAACACCTGGGTATCACCCCCGGACACACTACCGAAGACGGCCTCTTCACCTTCGTCGAGGTCGAATGCCTGGGTGCCTGCGTCAACGCTCCCATGGTCCAGATCAACGACGACTACTACGAGGACCTTACCCCCGAATCGATGAAGTCGCTGCTCACCGCTCTCAAGGAGTCCGCCACGGCCACCGAGGCTGGTCAGACGGTCAAGGTGCCCGCTCCGGGTCCTCTGAGCGGCAGAGACACATGCGAGAACAGCGCAGGATTGACCAACCTGATCGAGCCCGTGTGGGACCCGGCTACGATGATGAGAAAGGACGGGGCTTTGGACGAGCAAACACAATAAATGAAGATAAACCCATAATTCGAGCCAGACAATATAGTTTCGATACCGTGTGCTGGATGGTTCCAAATCCTGTCATGTTCCCCCTTTCCTTTTTCCTTTTCTGCCCTGGTTGGTGAAACTGGACGGGCCACCAGGTAACGCTTATGTACAGTACGTTGTTTCTGATTTCTCTCTTTTGCGTAGGGGGAAAGTCGGATATGGTGGGATTGATGTCAACTACCATAGAGGATCTCGTTAGCAGTAACCAATGCAGTTCTTTTCAATGTTAACTGGGATCTCAGTATCCATACCCTTGATCCTGTTTCTGGGCTGTGGTGCTGAGGTATGAGGTAGTTACTGCAGCCCTTGGACTCTAAATTAGATAAGAGAAGAACGTCTGACTGATTTGCTGGTGGTGTTCCTGCCCAATTTGGTCATGAATATCTTGGACATGCACTTTCCTATCTAGAGCTACTTCATGTGGACTGTGAACTACGAATTCGTCTTGCTATCTGGGAAACACAAATTCAGTCTTCCTAATCACAGTGACTCGATGAAGTTAACTCTGACGAATACGCACACACCAAATATGAACACCCCCCTTCGCTAATCCAAATTGCAAGGCGGAAAGCCAGAAACTTCGCACACTACCATTCACTGAACTCACTGCACGAGATTTTCCAAACACTCAAAACGCGTCGTTAAAAACCAAGGGCGGCCCCTCACACTTGATCACCCTGCCATCCAAGGCTTCTCCGTGAGCCACGAGCTCAGCCTTGCCGTCCCTTTCTATCAATATCTTGTCTCGGCGTTGTTGAAAGATGTTCACGTCTATCGTGTGCTTGGCAAGTAGGTGATAGAC